TATTGCAGCGGTTAGTTATAGTGCTTCTGATCTCATACAGCGACGGACGTGTGTGAAATAATTTAAAAAGTTCAAGTCATTAAAACAACTTCGATCCATTGTGATGAATGGGTGACGTTTATTTTAAAAAACGGTATAGATTCCCTTACTCATTGTGGCTTTCGCGGCGATTCGTGGCACCAAGGTTTGTACTTGAAGTGTATCTTTAGCGGCAATTGGTATTTTTTCAATTGTGGATTTCCCGGGCGGACACCGCTAGTGTATATTAATGTAATTACAAAACAGACTCGAGGAAAAGGTCATCGCTATCTCCAACACTGGTAAATACTTTTCTTGTAAACGTCAGCTAGTTATACTGATTGCATAGCAAATGTATTTGTGAATTTTCTTTCATTATGGTTCTCAAATCTCTATATTTCTAAATAATGGTAATATATGTTTAATCCTCCTTACCTGTGTATTCAGTTAAGGCACTGATTTTAGACATTATATATACTCTCCAAAAAAAGAAACGCATATAGGAATTTCAACTGTATTTTTATGTTTATTTTGAAACATCTTGTAGACTTTATGAGTCATGGAATATAGCGAAATTGCACACTGGGAATACAGACTTATCTGTCTTTGGCACCAACTCGAGGAAAGTCAGTTTGAGTGTCACATGGAGACGTGTGGTGGCGCTGAAGTCAATACCCTCGTGTGACCAGCGTGGGCATCCAGAACTGCACGGCATCGCCTCGGCATCGAACTAATAAGTCTCAGAATCTCGTGTTGCCCAATCGCAGCCCACTCTCCCTGGTAGCCTGTGCGAGTTGCTGAAATGTCTGGGGCTGAGGGTTACGGCGTCGCACCCGTCTGTCCAGGGCATCCCACAGATGTTCGATCGGGTTTAAGTCCGGTGATCTTGAGGGCCAGGGGAGCACATTGATGTTGTAGTTCTGGAGGAAGTCTCTTGTGTGACGTGCTGTGTGGGGCCTGGCATTGTCCTGTTGAAACAACTCCCTCTGGCGATCAATGATTGGAAGGAGGTGTGGGCGTAGGATTTCGTCACAGTACCGTTGAGCTGTCAGGTTGCCCTGGATCATCACCAAATCACTTCTCCTGCGGCAGGTGATCGCTCCCCATATCATAACACTGCCCCGGCCGAATCTGTTCACCTGGGGAACACAAGCGTCGGCGAAACGTTCACGTCGACGTCTGTACACCCGCATTCTTCCATCGCGTCATTCCAAGAGAAATCGTGATTCATCACTGAACCAGATTCTACGCCAATTCGGTAGGTTCCAGGCCTGAACGTTGGTGCACCATTGAACTCGATGTCGACGATGTTGACGTCGAAGCACAGGGCCAAAATAAGGTCTTCTGGCACGTAAACAAGCCTCTCTCAACCTGTTCCTGACGGTCTGTGCAGAAAGCCTCCTCAATCCGGGTATTTGTCGAGCGGTACTGGTCGCCGTAGCTGTTCAATGACGCAGGTGATGTACCCGGATGTAGCGATCCTGCGCCCAGTGGTCGCCCACTACGAAGGGCATCTGCTACCCCATTCTGCCGGCGATATCTCCCCCAGAGCCGTGAAATGGTGCTTTGGTGAACATTCGTGCGTCGGGCAACTGCACGTTGAGACTGGCCAGCTTCAAGCAAAGCAATGGCGATATGACGGTTGGCTTCACTTAGACGTGGCATTTTGCGGTCGTCAACAATATTCCAAATACAGTGAATAATCGACAGACAGCGATCAACCTTTTATACCCATCATTGAGACTATCTGATCCCCAACATTCACGTGCATTGCATGTGAATTGTGTATTCTGTGCCACTACACGCTGAATTAAAAATCATGCTGTTAAATACGGGTATTTTACGGATGGTGCGTTTTGTTGTGATGTTTCAAAACATAAACACCATAGGACTCATAAACAGAGCAAAACCTTTTGTAAAATGAATCACGTTTTAATTCATTGCTACATGAAATTGCTATTTTCATGATGCGTTTCTTTTTTGGGAGAGTATATTATACTGTTAAACTTTTGTAACATACTTTACTCTTCATATATATTTTCACTTCTGCACTAGGTTCCATTATCAATACACCTCATCACTTTCATAAATAACTTGTATATATACTATCGGCCAGAAGAAACGCCACCAAACATTTTCCTACACTGAACGAAAACAAGCGCATATTCTAGTAACAGCAAATGTTGTATTGTTAACATAAATATTACGAAACAGTTTTGTAAAATTACAAGATGAACCACATTGCAGTTGAAGTTCTGCAGGCACATTCATCACAGCGGGATCCATCGTCTAGTAACGCAGGTTCGACTTCCAGCTCTTCCACATTCAAAGCAATAGACATGGTTCAGTACCGGATCTAACCACCTTTAGTAGCGTTGAACTGAATAGACGAGTGTCCTGATGTTGTTATTAGGGATCCGACGCCATTACCCCCGCAGGGCAACTGCCAAGGCGTCCCTCGTCAATGGCGACTGTTGACGTTTCCGAATACGGACCAATTGGTCCCAGACGTGCTCTATGGGTGACAGATGCGGTGATCGTGCGGGCAACGGAAGGTCGTTCATGTTGTTGGTGTTGAGGAAGTCTCTAGTGACACAAGCTGTGTGAGGTGTGGCGTTGTCCTGTTGTAACATCGTCCGTTGGTATTCTTGCAGGAAAGACAGCACCACAGGTCGTAAAACCTCGTCGATGTAGCGACACGCAGTGAGATTACCGTAATTGATGACCACATCCATCATCTGGTCCCCACAAATGTCGTTCGGGACTAGCATACAGACTATCACGACATTCACCACGTCGTTGGTAGATTTGCATCCGGCCATCAAACTTGAAGAGCTGGAACCTGAGGCGTGTTCAGAACCGCAAGCGACCGCAAGATTGCCTGAACGCGAGCGCTTGGTTACAATAAGCCATTCGTGACCAACTCGTGTTGTTCAGGGACAAGCCGAATAACTTCTTTATTATATTCTTGAGGGTGAAATACTGTTAATATTGGTGAAAATTGAAATGGTATTGTCATTTTCACAGAGTAAAATATCACTTTTGCCTGGAACTACGAAACGCCAACTACAAAATCGATGTCTCGATCAATAATAAACAATGATCAAAATATAATAAACAGAATATTTGTTAATGTTGTCAATGGCTACGCAACCCGTGAACATATCAACTTTTTCAGACCACTCGATGACATATACATGTTATTTGACAACATTCTTTTTGGAGGTTACGGAAAGGGGCGAGTGGTGACGAATGACATTAAACATGATCGCCATCTTGGTTCGCTTGGCGAGGCAGCTGTGAGAATGGTTCGCGTGCGCGCGTGGGCGCTCGAGCGGGCACAGGTGTTCAGGATCGAGCACTCGCTAGCGTTCGCGGGCACTCGCGGTTCTGAACACGCCTCTGCTCTCGTCACTGAACAGCACTCTTTGACACTTTCTTTGCTGCAGTACAGTCCTTGTCCACCTCAGTCTGAGCCGTCGGTGTTGGCACGTTTACGTCATGCCCTTGAAAGGTCGATAAGCACGGAGACCATGATGGCGGAGACGTCTGGCCACGGTCTGTCTGCTGACTGGATGTCCAAGTGTGTTTGCTGCTGCTGACGTCACAGTGAGGAATCTTTTCCTCAGGTGAATAACCCGTAAATACTGTTCTTCGTGAGGGTCTACCACTCCTTGGCTTGTCTGAAGTACTGCCAGTGAGTCTGTGACGTGTGACAAGTCTTGCGATGGTGGACTTAGGACATTGTATGATCCTGGCAACGTGCTCCCAACTGCAGCATACCGATGTCTCTCTCCCTTTGCACAGCTGTTAATCGAGGCATGTTTGCTGCTTTTAACCGTGATGAGAGAGAACAAATCTTTTCATGTATCATAAGCGATTTTCTTACGGGTAACTTTGTGCACATTTGCATATTGGGTTAAATTCACTTGTCTCACATAAAACACATAAAGAACTAGCACTTGTCCACTGGGAACGTGCAGGATGTATTTAAGATGTTGTTTGAGCTTTTGTCGCGCAGGTTTGAACATTTCCTGTATATTGGCGTCCATTTGTACCTTGGTGGCGTTTCTTTTGGCCGTTAGTCTATAATTATTGTTTTCCTATTACCTCATTGCTTCTCTACTTGGTTTCATCTTCTACAACATCATCTCTTATATTACTTATTGACACACAACATTACTTGAAGTACATGTGATGCAATGGGAGAGACATGTGATCATGTACTTCTTTGATGAAAGTTGCTAATTCATGCCGAGTGTAGGAAAGCATGCTAGGTCATCTTCATTTGCAGTTAAAATTTGCCAAAGGTTACTAACATGGACACTTAAGCAGATAATTCAACTACCAAAAGTTTACAATTTGGACTTTTAGAAAACATATTTCAACGTCTGTACATATTCATGAAAATACCATGTTAAAGTTAGTAAACTCATTTTGTCAGAAACTGGACAAATTTGGAGAGTTACCGATCAAATGGACATCAAGTTTAAAACTGTGATGTGTTAATTGTTGATTCCATGACATTTCGTTGTTGTCTGTTGGATTTACACCAGTTTCTCTTACGAACAGAGTTCACATTACATATCTGACGTTTTGTTTCAACAAAGACATTGACACGCATCACCCTGGAGCAGTCATACGAAGAAGCTGTTCACAGGGCTTCGCTTTCAGTTTCTTATATTTTTTCATTATAAACGGTATATGAGGTTCTAATGCTTTGATCGACTTAACAATCATTCTAATGTTTATCATATTCATAGGGTGTTACTAAATATTGTGATCAAAGTCGCCTCTGTTTAATTTTAACATACTTTCAAATACCTTGAGTTGCATCTCTTTTAAATGTTGACAAAACGATCATGTTGAATATTAGGATTGACTTTACTTTATAATATGGACGTTTGGTTTATAGGATTAACTAAGCAATTATCACAGCTTAACAGTTTGTCTTCTAAAATCCGTCAACAGAATACACTCACCCTGTGCGTCGTGCAGTTTCGAGATGCCAAGATAGAACACTACAAAGGCGAGCGCAGAAACATACATCTTGTCGACAGGAACCGCCGTGAGAATAAATCTGTACAGAAGGAAAAGTAACCTCGAGAATATACAGAACATCAAAAACGACGCGGTTGGCTTACCTGGACCTATGATAGCTTAACAAATTGTATTCTACAAACATCTAACAGAATATACTCGATTTTTCTGAAAATGCTGGCAAGAACAAGTGCATCTTTAATCAATGCTACAATAGAATCCGTCATTCTTTCTTCACAAGTACTAAACAGGGAGCTAAAAGGAACGCAGTTTGTAACCAAAAAGGCCGATCGGTACGTTGTCAGATTACAGTTGTATTAAACTGTGTTAAAAATGGATTATTCAGACCTATGTCAATTATCATACAACAGAAGCTTTTAAGCTGCGTCAAACTTTAAAAGAAGTCAATAGGTCTTAATATAACAACCTCTATGCATACGATGCATCAGATAGAAGTAATTTGTGTATTGTGTTGTTGTTTTTCACACTTAAATAGTTGACATCGCAACATTATGTCAAGTAATGAGCCGACAGAAAACTTGGAATATGCATGTGTAAGATTTTTGCATGCAAGATTAAAATGCTCGACTGTAGGATGGCAATTAAAATCTGAACAAAATGCTGAAAATGAATATCAGTTTTTTTCACAATGAGTTCTGTAGTATTGTCACAGATGACACGCATTGTTTTTTTAGTTTCGTATGTTGAGCATTCGCAAGTATCAGACTAAGCATGAAGCAATGACGGGCAAAAGTTTGGCAGAGCTCTATATTTAAATCGGTAATTGCCAAAGACCACATTACCAACATGGATTAAGAAGTCGGCAATGACTTATGAGGCTTTCCTTTAATCTTCAAACTTTCCAGCTCCTAAGGCGAAGCCCTTCGTTAAATTAGTTGGTGTAAACAAGGCATTCTAAAAATTGTTCAAGATAATACGTGACATGAAGGTTGTTAGCTTTGGAGTACAATCATGGTCAAGGCATAAGAGTTATCCCAGTGTTCGACTTGACCTGAATCACTGGCTGGAAAGACCGATTTCAGGCAACAATTGAAATTGTCTTCAAACACATTTGTGGTGAGGAAAATTCGCCTCAGGGGCGTTAAATGTCACAATGGCAAACAAAGACAGAGTATGTTACAATTATGGATGCCTCAAACAATTACTTACAAATTTTCTTTTATAACAAAACAAATCACGATGATTGCAAACAAATGTACAGCACATCAACACCCCAACGAGGACAAGTCAGAAGAGGACCCTCGAAGTGACCCTATTGATGCCTTCCCATTCAGCCATCTCTTCGGTCATCCTTGCCGACTTTGCCAGAGTCGACGACGACCTGTTGTCCAGAGTCTAAAGAAGACTGTTGCCAGACGTCCAGATGAAGTTCACAGGAGTGAAGAACATGACCTATCACCTCCTGCTCTTGCTTCAGCCTCTCCTCTCTTTGACATCTTTGAAGATTATTTAAGCGTAGTGTCAACATAAGACTCATCCACTGACTTGACACCTATACTGAATTTCCTGCCATCAAGAGCTTCAAACACTGTTCACTGAATCCGCAGGTGTGATACCATTTGATTTATTCTTGTGGTATGTTTTACTTAAACTCACGATGCTGTGTAAGTTTTGCTGTTTTTCTACATGTATGTAGCAGCTGTAAGTGTACATTCGTTTGAAATATGACAACAGGGCTACGGGTGTGATTCGGTTTATTCGACAACCGAGTAAATAGATGTAATAGATCAGCCAGTGAGGGTTAAAAAGCATGCAAACCAAAAAGAACAATAAGGTCAGTCACTCAACCAGAACATTTGCTCTGGGTGAAACAAATTTACTGATAGGGTAGTGACTGTCCGATTTACTTCCACTTTGTCAGTTTCTTTGTTAGGGGATTAATTAAAGTTAACGATGCAGCAAGGGTGTGTGTGTGTGTGTGTGTGTGTGTGTGTGTGTGTGTGTGTGTGTGTGTGTGTGTGTGTGTGTGTGTGTGTGTGTTAATTAGCATTAATTAAGGATTAGCAGAGGATTAAAATAGTTCACTTAATGACAGTTCATTTCAATATTTTATTCCATTTCACATTTACATGATACGTTTGATATAATGTACAAGCACTACCTATTACATTTATAACATAATAAGGTAAGAGCACGAATCAAATGTATAACATTTTTCACCATTTTATTCTCAATGTACAACATTTTTCATCATCGTATCATGAAATATATAACATTTTTTATCATATAAGCATGAAATGTACAACATTAAATGTCCAAAACTTTCCATCCATTGATCTGGCAGCATCTCCAATGAATACAGTCGCCTTTCCACGTCTTGACTCTGAACTTGACTCAAACTCTGGCCAACACGACTATTTGGTATGAAGCTAACATCTACCTGAACGTTTGCCATCTTGTGATATCTGACAGATGACAGTGGTTCCATATATATAGTGTCCTCTGAAATGACAGATTGTGAAGTCTTCTCATTGACTAAATTCATTTTGCATATGGTGAACACAGTTCACATGTCAGCACGCCATGAAACTGGCAGTTTGATTAAGCCAATTAGGGTCGTTAATTTTAATCCGATATTCGTTAACTGTCAAGGGATTAGAAACTGGCAAACTGGGAGGACACCGACTGACCCAAGCATAGCCAAGTTAAAACGTCTAAATAGAAAACTAATATCATATGCTGATATTAATACTAATGTTTATAACTAATACTAACATCAAAACTATATATACTATGCACCACTAATAACTACGTGCTAATATTAATACTGAAACTAATAACTAAAGCTAATACTAATTACACTGTACAGTTTGTAGTTTAGTTTAGTTGACTGTTATACAAATATATGTAACTGCCAAATGTATATGTATATTATAGTTTAGATAATGCAAACATGTATAGATATTTATCATCCAAAACTGTGTTCCACAGGAGATATCGCTTGTGTGAGATCAAACGATATCTCCTACGAGATATCGTTTTGACAGTAGATTTTGTACAATGCCCTGACAATGCTATGACGTCATGTACTTGATGACGTCACAATGCTATGACATCACTGCACTGCAAGTGTAATGGCAGTACCGTGTTGAGAGATGTACATATTTCATTGAAAATTAATGAAAAGTGATTTTGGATGATAAATAGAATCTCACCCTCGTGTCTTCTGATATCAAATATATCAACACTCGTTGATAAAAGTTAAAATATCCTCGGCAAGCCTCGGATATTTGTAACTTTATCAACTCGTGTTGATATAATTGATATCAGAAGACACTTGGGTGAGATTTTCTATTTATGCACATAGTATGTATCAAATACAAAACTTTTATTGTCAATAATGATCAAAATATTCAGTGGTTTGTTCTGAAATCCCTTCACTGGCTTCTAGTAAAGTACAGGATCTACTTCAAGATTCTGCTACTGGCTCATAACTGTCTCTACGATGACCAGTCCTGTGACTACCTTCGCCAGCTTGTACATCTGCATGTACCCATCAGAGCTCTTAGATCAAGACATACGTTAAGACTAACACAGCCTAGTAGCACCAGCTCTATGGAACAATCTTCCAGTCACCCTCAGACGAACTGAGTCTCAGTCACTTTTCAAGAACTTGCTCAAAACCTACTTTTTTCAAGATGGCTTCTGAATAGAACTCTTTTCACACTTACTGTGTTTTAACGATGTATGCAGCGCCGTTGAGCATCTGTGATGGAAACTAGGCGCTATACAACCCAATTATTATTATTATTATTATTATTATGTTTTACAGATTAAAGATAATGTGCAGCAGAGAGGGTCCGGGAGATCCTGGCACAATCAGGCTGGTAAGGCTCATCATCAGCTCAGGGCCCTCGCCCCCTCTACACGCAGCCCAGACAGCGAATGGGACTTCTCCCAGGAAACGCTGCCTAGTCGAACCCATCAAGAACTTTCCGGAGAATATGAAGGCTCCCCAACACTGCAGCCTTCTGCATTACCCAGAGTGTCAGAAGGGCTGTACTCCCGGTGGAGAACCAGGGCACTCTCCTGATCTGCGCCAAGAGATCAGGAGGTACCAAACCAAGGGCACCAAGAACAATGGGGAGCCTGACGACAGTGTACTTGGGATGCAAGCGAGACATTTCAAAGGCGAGGTCCGCATATTTATCATGCTTTTCCTTAATCTTGCCAACCACATTGGTGTCAAAAGGGACAGAAAATTCAGTGATTTAAATAAATTCATTGGCTTTATCAAAAAGGACAAGATCAGGTTTGTTGGCTTCAATTCTTCTTAGGCTGTATATGGGCCTATTCCACAGAAGTTTGAAAGCATCATTTTCCATGACGCCCTGGACATGTTCAGGGTCGTACCATGGATGGACCTCGGAGTCAAAGCCACATGCATGTCGGAGACGGTAGTAAAAGCAACGAGCCATGCCATCATGTCGTTTAAGATACGATGTTTGTGCCAAGGAAGGGCATCCACTGACAAGGTGTTGGACAGTCTCCGTGAATTCATTGCAAAGTCGACATTTCATATTGATATTTTCTTTAAGAATCACATTTAGGCGATTGCGAGTGGGAGGTGACTGGTCCTGAGCAGCAAGAAGGAAGCCCTCAGTTTCACATTTAAGACCAGCCGACTTCATCCAGGCGAAGGAGTCGGTGGGATTGCTATTCTGTTCCACACACTGCATGTACACACGATGCAATGGCTTCTCAGAAAGCTTCTCCACAAAAGACCGACTCTGGGCAGACTTGGTGAAGGACTTCACCTGGTTTACTCCCATCGCTGTACCGTCCAGCAGTACATCGCCATCAGCAAAGTCAACCTCAATTTTCAGATTCTGTCCAACAATCTTGGCACGCTTAAAATAGCTGTGGAATTCCTTGCTTTCATCATGAGTCTTCACATGCATCACCAGAGGATCATCAGATAAATAAATATGTGCAAGAGTACACAATAAAATTCTATCATGAAGAGTCTCCACATTAATCAAACCCTG